AAAAATCTTTGGTTTGTAGGCGTGGCCGGATAAAAAATCGTGGGAAGTTGCAGTGGTATATCTAAAATACATATTCCTAAGCCTAACTTTTTTCCATTTTTGGTTTTTCTGGTTTTGTGGGCGTTAGAGTGGGCGTGGCTAGGTGGAAAAAAATTTGGGCATTTGGGGCCTCATAAAAACCTACCTGCTTAATCCGAACTTTCTATCTTTTGAGCGTATCTTTGGTGGGCGTATGGGTGGGTGTGTCCAGATAATAGTACCACTAAAAGATGCACTGGCATCCAAAGTTTATACATACCGAATTTCAACTTTCTAGCTCTAATAGTTCGCGAGATTTAATCGATTTTAGTTGTTTGTGATTTGTGGGCGTTAGAGTGGGCGTGGCAGGATGCGGATCCCAGGGATCTCAAGAATCTTCATGCTTAATCTCAACGGACGGACGGTCGGACAGACGGACATGGCTCAATCGACTTCGCTATTGATAGGGTCGGAAGCACTTCCTTCTATCTGTTACATACTTTTCAACGAATCTAGTACACCCTTTTACTCTACGGGTATAAAAATAACTTCATATAAATACGAAATTTTTTCAAAGGTGGATATGTAGTATGTTCACATATCAAATGCACTTTTACACATTGTTATGCATTAATATTATTAAAAAAAACATTGTAACACTCTGTCATTATGAGTACTCGTGACGAGAGGTCACTGTGGGACTCTGTGGCCCTGATGCGTTACCTGCATCCATGGCGTTGGTGTGGGTCCCTGTGGGACTCTGTGGCCCTGATGCGTTACCTCCATCCATGGCATTGGTGGGGTCCCCTTTTATCAGATAGACTGGACTATCTTTGGCAATCCTTAATACATTTACTTGTATTAAGAATAGATCTGTATTGTTGTTTGCAACTAGTCGCAAATAACTTATATATGAATTGTATGGATACTGTGTATGTAAAATACTAATAATATGTACAGTAGTAATTATATATATATGTGTATAAACAATAAGTTTTGTATTTTTTAATATAGGGAGAATTTCAGGTGTGTATTTACTACACAAGTGCAGTCCACGATCAACTGCGAAATAAGCTCTAAACTGCCAAACAGAAGCAAGTGATCGAAGATATTCCAGGAAGAAGCAAAACAACTTATATCGCAGTTTGGGGCGAAATGATGGGGAAGGAGGAATACTAAAAAATGTTACTGTTTACAAAAATATATGAGGCAGACGCAACATTTCCATAATGGTAAATTTACTGTTCTGATGATACTTTCTTACACACGCACACCAAGTGCTCTCCGACACACACGCACAGTTTTGAAGACCAGTGGAACATCGAAACCGTGCGGACACCTATTCAAGTAGCTTGCGTACATTTTTCCGTCTGTCGTTAAAATACACAAAGTTAGAGCGATATAGTGGGTGAATAAGTAACATACCGGCACGTGGTGAGGTTACGCATATAGCACGAAGCAAGAGATATCCCATAAGCAGAAAACCAACAGCGATGGGAGGATCATCAAAGTAAACTTGAACCACTGTAAGGCAGCACGTGAAATTTTAAGTCAGACCATGCGCGACTAAAAGGTGATAATAAGCGAGCCGTATAAAAAGAGAAAAGGACCGGCCTATTCTTTGGATGCTATAAAATCGGCAACTATTCTGACAGTAGAGAAGCATTCCTTCCGGAATATGCAGCAGTCCTGTATGAACTAGTGAGCGATGCCAGAGGGGAGCTAAACGTGATCATCGCTAGTCAAACGGCAGAGGACGCACACTGCTACAGTCCTTCGCATTTCTGGACAAAGCACTGTTAAACACGGGATCAGAGCACATGATTTAACATTCAGAATCGAGTCACTGTTCCAGAGAGCCACATGGCGCCTGAGCGAAGCCAACACCGCAAGCGACCACATAGCGTCCACAAGGCGGAATTCGGGAGCTCAAATGTTCAAACGTTTCAACGCAAAAACACTTCAGACTGATGTGTTCCTCAGGGAGCTTCAGTGTCTAGAGGCTGGCGATCACGCTGAGCGAAGCGGAGAGAACATTATGAGCGCCGAAGTGACGGCGTGCAGAGCCAGCAAGAAGGAAACAAAGAGTCATCACAGGCAACAATCTATTGGTGGACGGAAGAAATCGCGGACGCAAGCACGCATTGCTTGCGGGTCAGACGCCTGCATCAAGGGCTCTAGTATGCGGAGAAACGCAGGGTGCTTAAAAGGCTTATTAAGGAAAAAAGCCGATGATGATTTTCAGCTCAGCACACAATATCGTGGTAAAGAAACTGCGGCAGGCGAAACCACTTGTCCCGGGGAATGCAACCTGGTTGACTGAGATAGTGGAGCACCTCTTCCCGACGGTGCGATCAACAATTGCACCACCGAAGCAAAAATTTGCCTGAGGAGATAAAGCTGATAGCCAGAGACGTAGCCTCAGGAAAATCAAAGGAAAGGAGATGGAAGGGCGGCAACAAGAAGTATTGTTTGATGGAGATCCTGGACATCAAAAATGCTTTCTACAGGCTCTACCAAATCTTGGAATACCGGAAGTGCTAGTATGCATCGTTAAGTCCCACTTTCGAGATCGCATACTGCTATAAGATAGAGGAGTTATTGAGCATGCGATCACCTGTAGAGTCCCCCAAGGATCAGTACTGGGGCCACATCTGTGGAATGCTATGTACGATGGAGTCCTGAGATTACCACAGCCAGGCAAAACGACAGTAGTCGGCTTTGCAGATGATGTAGCTATTGTCATGGTGGATAAAACTCTCAAGGATGTAGAGCACCTTGGAAACTCATCAGTAGCCTCCAACGTTGCCAGAGCGCTGACAGGAATCATACTGAACTCCAGAGGACCAAAGCAAGATAGCAGGTTACTCTTACGGCGGCGTCTTAAAAGGTCCACGAATTTTATTTTGTTTTTTTTTTCGCTTTTATTATTTACACATTTTTCTCTGTGTACGGAATTGTACGCACATTTTTGTGCACTGGCATTTAATTTCCCTTTGCAATAGTTCTCTCTGTGAAGTATTAATGTTATTTCAGCATTCACCACCAAAATTTCCTCAACGCTGTTTACACTCCTCAGTCCACAAGAATAGCATGATAAGCGTAGTGGGCATTGTTAATCCCTTGTACCTACTCCGAGGAAGTAGAGGGGGAGGTATCATATAATAAAATGATTTTAGAAAATGCTGGAAGAGAGTTTGTAAACAAAACCACTCTGCTGTTTGGAGTCAATAAGAATGAGTGTTTATTACAAAAATGTAGATGTGTATGAGTCTATTTATATGTATGTGTGCTCGTCAGAGTTATTGCACATTCACTATTTTTGTTGTTGTCGATCAGCGCTGGGCTTGTAGTTACCGGGTCTGCGTTGTTTCGCTGTGTCCGGGAGAGGGCGCACATTCATCTTCAGGGCCTTCACATCTTTCCACGCTAGCTCTGCATCGGAAAGTACAAATTGGCTACTCCGTACACGTTCTTCAGCCCATGGCGCTTTGGTTGCAATAATCTGCAGGCTAACCATTCTCGTGCGTTCTTTGGCAGATTTTCCGCCAAACCACTGCACATTGAGTTTTCGTCTCTCACCTTTCAGGTTCAGGCTGCGGATGAGTTCGTCGTAGATATTCTGCACGTACAACGCGACCTAATTCCTGGCGGCCGCATGTCGATCACCTCTCATCCTCCTGTGGCAATCGTCATGGAGTAGGCTCTTCTTGCATAACCAGGCCATATGTCCATAATCCAAACACGAAAAACATAACCTCAACTTCCTCGGTGGAAGGTAGTCCTTGCAGTCCTTGATCTCGTGGTATAACACTTAGGGCAACATCTGGGGCGGACTGCGTACCGCTCCTCTTCGCTTCGGGTGCTTCTTAATTTCGACGTCCGTGGCAGTGCACATCAATTTGGCGAAATTCATGAAATTCGCTCAGGTGCACCATTGTAGGATACGCCTGTATCGTTGCCTCGTGCTTCGCTCAGTCCAACCTGTTGCTCACTGGAAAATTGGTAATCAGCTCTCCTGCTGCCCGTCGTGGTTGACTGCAGAAACGCTGGCAGGTTAATCACTACGTATCAGTAGCTCCGGACGTCCATACCGGAATCGTAGCTGCTGAGGTGGCCCTTCAGGGCTTTCACTAGCTTCTGGTTATTCTCCAACTCTGTGCACTTGTAAGCCTACAGGTATGCTCGTCGTCGCCATATCCATATGATATGCGCGATGGTACAACAAAATGGCGGAGAATAGCTTACTGTTGTTGTTGTACAGGTCCCTGTGAAAGGTTGCCCGTTTTCCCAATGGCCGAGCGTCAGCGCCAAATTTCCACTCAATTTTGACGGCAAATTTGCACTCAATTATGCCGTCAACTGCTCATCCAAAGATGGCGTAACTCCATGATCCGGTTACACAGTCTCTCCCATTATTTGCCTGGGCCGCCAAATAAGCAAGATATTCATTACCCGATTTAGAATGGCCGAACAACACAATCTTATTCATCCTTTTACGCAAATAAAATTCAATTAACTATTGACAGACCTATTCGTTCCGCGACAGTTAACAAAGATTAACTAAATTAAGGACTAAGCGTAGAGCTAAAAGATTAATTTATAACATGAATTTAAATTGCTATTTGATGGATCTGACTAGAATAAAATTCGGCACGAAACTTTTTGAATTAATTGAAAAGCAATTGAGTAAGGTCGAATATCACAACAAGGAAACACGAATTAATGAAGTTTGATTGCGAATGTATGAGACCATTTTTTAAATGCATTTTTGGGGTTAGCATGCATATATACTTAAAAAACGAAGAAATGCACTTTTTGTAGAACTCAATTAACTCAATTCAATTAAAATTTATTCATATTAATGTGCGTTGTGAGTTAAGAATTCAGTTAACAAATACTGAATTTCCAGGTTCTCTTATTTTCATTTTTTCATAACAGCTGGAGTCTGTGTGAACGCCTTAAAACATCTCATTTAAATTGTTCCTGTTGAAAAGCCATATTACGAACTACTGTAAAAAACTGCTTCTGAAAATAAAATAAATACTTCCGCCACTATTATTACATATGTACATATATAAAAAATATATACATCAAATTCGTTTTGTTCGTATGCATAGCACAGTGTTTAAAGGTTAATTAAGTACAAATAATTTAGCTTTCTTTATTTTCAGTTGAATTCCTCTTTTGGTAATGTTAATAAAGGCAATAACTAATAAGTTTTTTTGCGAGTCGGCTAGCAGTCAAAAACTGTTACTTGCTCAGTTCTCCTTCCATGGGGAAGCATTGATTTTTCGTCCAAGAAATTCAACTGGAAAACCGGAACTGACCTTTCTAAGTTATTATAATTATTAGACTAATATTGGTTGCACGTTATGGGTGCCTACTTATCACAGCCGAAGACGGATAAAGCGTCTACAGATGAATGCAATGATATGCTTGCCGTTGGAGCCAGTTCTATGCAAGGCTGGCGGAACAGCCAAGAGGTAAACAAATCCTTTTTTTTTTTTGCTGTAATCACCATTGATATTCGGGCTCAATGTTTCAGGATGCACACAATTCAATTTTAAGTTTCGATACGAATACATCTTTTTTTGCTGTTTACGATGGTCATGGCGGAGCTGAGGTAGCCCAATATTGTGCCAATCAGTTTCCACAGTTTCTTAAAAACCTTGAAACATATAAAAATGGACAATTTGAAAAGGCACTAATAGATGCTTTCTTGGGATTTGATAAAACTCTGCTTGATCCTTCGATAGTCGGTATTTTGAAAATTTTGGCAGGTGAACATAATTTTGTCGATGCTGATACAGAAGATTATGAAGATGAAGAAAATTTAGCTAAATTGCAAGAGGAAAGCAACTTGCCGCTAAATAAAGTTCTGGAAAATTATAAAGGACTTCCGCAGACTGACGCATTGATAATGAAATCGGAGAGTGAAGTTAATTTAAGAATGATTTCGCCACGTGGTCGTCGTGCTGCAGCATTAGCTGCCGAAGCTGCTAATAAGGTTGTAATGGACCCCACCGCCAAACCTGAAGGTTCTTCCACCTCAGCAGCAGCTGGGATATCTGTCCGTGATGTATTTGACTATACCGATTCTAGGTTCGCAGAGAAAGAAATAAAAAAATCAGAAAACGATTCAACTGTTAGTAGCAACAGCAGTGTCAACCATTCATGCAGTAATTATGTTTCATCACAAAGTAACGCTGAAAAAAATGAGAAATCAAGTGGGATCTTTTTAAAGTCAGAATTGGTTACTCCTTCAAAGCCTTGTGTTGTAATCAAGAATGATAACGATATCGCCGATTCACATACATCAGTAGTACCTGAGACGGAAGATATCAGCAAAGTGAATCGAAACGGACGAATTTCTAAAACCGGGCATTCAATTTCATCTACCAGTAAAGAATCTAAACATCTCATTAAATATAATTCTCAAGAGGCAGAGTCAACCGATGACGATGCAGATTACGACGAGAATAACTTAGTTGAAAGTCCAGATATTTCCTCCTCAGAAAGTTTTGATGAAGACATTGAAGGCTGTACTGCAAATTATGACGACGATGATGATGATGAGGACGATGTAAGTTACTCAAGCATTTAACATAGATTCCTAATTAAATTATCTACAGGAAACTGAGTTTAGTGACGAAGAAGAAATGGATGAGGATCAGATAGCTAATGATCGTTTTTGCGCTAATATGATGGAAGAACCTGGTAAAGATAGTGGATGTACTGCGGTTGTTTGTTTGTTGAATGGTCGAGATTTGTATGTAGCAAATGCAGGCGACTCTCGATGTGTAGTATCTCGTAGTGGTAAAGCTATTGAAATGAGTCTTGATCATAAGCCTGAAGATGTCGAAGAAGCTTCGAGGATAATTAAGGCAGGCGGTAGAGTTACTCTTGATGGTCGCGTAAACGGTGGATTAAATTTGTCTAGAGCCCTTGGTGACCACGCCTACAAATCTAATATTGAACTGCCAGCTGAGGAACAAATGATATCTGCATTACCTGATATTAAAAAGCTTATTATCACTCCGAAAGACGAGTTTATGGTGTTGGCGTGTGATGGTATATGGAATTATATGTCCAGTGAGGAAGTCGTTAGTTTTGTACGATTCAGGTTAAAGGATAAAAGCAAGAAATTGTCTAATATTTGTGAAGAGGTAAAATAAAATATTATAAAATACTCCATTAAATTAACCAGCAATTTCGTAGCTTTTTGATAATTGCTTAGCTCCGAATACGATGGGTGACGGAACTGGTTGCGACAACATGACAGCTGTAATTGTAAAATTCAAGGAAAAGCTCCAAGACCTGCAGACTACCATTAATCCCACTGAAACAGAAGATATGCTAGTTGACGCCTATAATCCATTTGAGGTATCAGATGTTAGTAATGATAAGAGTGCGCTTAAGCGATTCGTTTTGCCAGATACCTCTCCTGAAGGTACTTATTTAGATAAAGATAACAAGTCCAAACGATTAAAAACTGAATTGGAACCAGAGGATGATATTAGCTCAACGCAATCGCCAGCTGAACAAAATGAGTGCCGTGGCCTGGCGGCGATTAATGAAGTTACAATAGCTGTCTCTTCACCATAATTTTACATTAATTTGTAACCTGCATTTTTGTCATAGTGTTGAAAAAGCCGTTAATGGCAGGATTACACAAAAATATTAAATAATAAACATTAATAAATTAAATTTAAATAAATATATTTAAATACCAGTTTTCTTAATATGCTACTTAAAGCATTAATTTCGATGACATCCATTTGTAATTGATATGAAACCAAATATATAATGACAATCTTTTTGAAAAAAAATAAGGCCTGATACAAAATTTATTTTATTACAACGAGATTTATATTAAAAGGGAAAACGGTAAGGATCAGCCAACTTCGAAATTTTTAACCTAGTTTTATTGTTTGTTCAGGCTTATTGTTACAATTGTAAATGGAAACCATCCGATACATAGTTGTGAAACTGCTTCACTATTGCAATTCATATCATTAGGGCTGCAGGCACAATGTACGCATTAAGTTTTGAGCAAGAATATGAAATATATTTAATATGGGAGAAACATATTTCGAAAATAAGGGAATACGATTCATATCGACATCACGGGAAAGCTTTGCGGTACGAATGGCTAGTTCAGTTCCAGATCCACATGTGTGGCTTTACGGAACAACCCCTTCCATGGCGGGTCATCCGTCGAAATTCGGTCAAACTGTGGCGAATTTCTTGGTAAGAAATTGTGCTTGCCTTGTAGCTTTTATAGACCTTATGGGTGTGAATGGAGCTATTAATGCCGAAGTGTCAAAGGTTTTCACCCCTTCCTTGTCAGAAGAATAAGTATCGCTATTGGCGTAGCCTCTTCAAATGTGTATGGGTTTATAGAATAGAACTGGCCTGCGTCGTCTATCCATGTGTACGTGAAAGGTTGTTAGAAGGAACCTATCATCTGGCTAAGGAATTTCTTTTAAGAGTCGCAAACCTTCTTGTACTTATCGCAAACTTTGTAACTGTTTATAAATGTTTTCAATTAGTCTTTCAAGTTCGGAATGAGGGGCATCATTAGTTGCTTAACTTCATACAGCGTTATACGGTCCCAAAGGCAAGGTCCGGAAGGTATAATAATCCAGATTATATTCCAATTGAAACTGCGACCAATTGCCGGCTACAGTGAACTGAGTTATATTCGTCAACCAGTTGGTGAGTGTATGCTGTATGCTATTAAAAAATTTTGATCCTCCAACAGAAATTCACGAAAATCCTGCAAAATATTCTATACTTTCTGACCTAAGACGGAGACTGGCGCTTGAACGATTCTGCAAAGTTGGGCTGCTCACCGCCTATGCTCTGAGTGCTCATTTGTGTTTATAAATGCCCACTCCATATGGACTTGCTCGCCCATATGGTGTGAGCGCTCACAGAGATATTACATTAACAAATTTTCGTTTTCCTCTTTCTGCCTCGTTCCGAACACAGTATAATTTGTTCTTGTTTCTTCCTGGAACATCATTCACCACTGGAATTCATTCTGTATACCTCCTGTTTGCAATTAAGACTTGGCGGGAGAGTCAAAGGAGTGATGAATTTTTTTTGCTCTCAGTGAACAGCTGCAAGCCAACAAAAATGACAAACATGAGGTGCAAGCTTATTGTTTAATATCTCGACAAATATGTAACGGAATTTAAAATGTGATATCTCAAATGAATGATATACATTTGGAGAATATATTTAAAACAAAACATTTATAAGTTTTTACTTGAATACAAGACAATTTCCTTCAAATCATGGCGTATGCGTGAGCGTTTTTTTTTTGGCTCAATCTTTATTTGCCCGGTATACTGCCAGTACGATACCGATCTAGAGCCGTACCTCAAGTACATGGATGCTGCGTTGCCCTCAACCAGCCTAGCAGGATGTTCACATTTGATCCCTCTGTGCGTGAGCGACATCGTCGTGACAATTGCCAACGATGCAGCATTAATGTGGGCCACATTCGAGTGGAGAGTGGATAAGTGGGAGTTGAGTGATTATAACATGATCACTGATATGGCAACACCAACGACCACACGCGCACTTGAATGCTTAGCTCCTGTGCCGTCCTGGAACATCTCCAATGCTCGCTGGCAGTTGTTCGAACAGGAGATAGTGAGTCGGGCAGCCGATATTCCAGAAGACTTCTCTCAGTCGCCGTTGGACCACCAAGTTTCAACCCTGCGCGGAATGATCCACGATGTGTGTGACCTTGCGCTGGAAGAGAGGTCGCCGAAATCGCCTAGGAGAAGGAAACCAGGCTAGTGGAACGCTAGCCGTCGAGGAGACGGTGACGCTGCTGAGCTGCTTGTGGTCGCGCTCAGGCAAGCCTCAAGCGATTACAAGAGAGGCGAAGGAGGACAGCTGTAAACGCTTCGTTGGAGAAAACGCACACTATCCCTGGGGGCGCGTTGACAAGATCTGCCGAGGACGCAGAAAGTGCACGGAGATTGGGTGACTCCGCGTTGATGGAGAGCTGGTCACGGATTGGGGTGACTGTGCGCGTGTGCTCTTTCGTAAATTTTTCCCAGTTGCAGATTCCGATGCATCGATTGCAGAAGTGAAGGAGGTCACTCCCCGCCGCTTGACTTGGCCGCAATGAAAATAGCAGTCAAGTACAAGTTGATGCACTGATACCCGTTGGAGGAGGACGACTGGCTCTATGGCAACGACATATCAGGTCTGAGCTGGACACAAAAGACTACGCGGGTAGACAAATGCCTCCTGTCGGGCTGGGAGAGCAGATGGGATGACGGTGCTTCACTCGGTCGGGTGACTCACAAGTTCATTCCAGATGCAGGCTTCGTTTTTCGGAACCCGGACTTTGGTTTCTCGATGCGCGCAGGATACTTGAATACAGGGCACGGGTCGTTCAATGCATTTCTGCATAGTAGAGATCTTAGCGATTCCGCTGCATGCTCATGGGGCGATCCTAATGATAACTGGGAGCATTTCCTGTATGCTTGCCCCCTTTATGCAGACTTGCGAGACCTCGGTGGACTCGGTTTGCAGCACGTTGGCGGAAGCTGGACATTTGGAAGGATTCTGGAGAGCAACGACAGGATTACGAGACTCGCACAGTTTGCCAATGAGGAATTTCAGAGGAGGACGGACCTTTGAGGTCTATTTTTCAGTGCCGAGTGGTTGGCGGCCGAGAATACTGCAACAGTTCGCCATAGCTTGTCGTAGGAGGTAAAGGGGTGACTCACCGAGCGCACAAGCTTCTGTACCACGGGTCCAAGCGCTACCAATTGAGGTAGGCCCCCCTTGTGGGAGTAACGTGGTAACTGTGGTTGATACCCAAATCGCGGGTAGAATCTTCGGATTCGACGTGGAGTTGCGTTATACAACTCAGGTGCAACAGTGGTAATAGATACAAATCGCCCTTTATCCCGAGGGAGTATGTTGCCCAGCATTGGGAATTGGTTGTTTTTTTTTTAATATTTTATGAAGTGTACTCATAATTTTTGTGCGTAACAATGTCTTTTTTTCTTTTATGAATTAAATTAATTAACTTGTTAATTTAACGTTTGAAATTATTATTATTATTTTTTTTATATTTACAATCCGTCTTGTGAGACAATAAGTAAAGTCTAACATTTACATAACAGGAATAGAGATTTCCAGTGAAACTCTCTCTCTCTTCGCTAAATCTGGTCATGTGTCGACGGTCAATTCTGAGTGGTACACCAAAATTTACTTGCCTGAAGTCTTCGGAGAAATTCGGAAAACGAGTAAGAAGACACATACATATTATTCTGGACCATGACAACACGAGTTCTCACACATCAGCTCAAACGCGCGCCTTTTTGACCGGCCAAAACGTTGAATTGATGGGTAAGCCGCCGTACAGCACTGACTTGGTACCCAATGGCTTATTTTTATTCCCTTAAAAAAAACATTTTTTGAAGGTTCTGCAATTGGAGTGGAAAAAGTGCTTCGATATGTATATTACATTAACAAATTTTCGTTTTCCTCTTTCCGCCGCGCTCCGTCGCCAAACACAGTATAATTTGTTCTTGTTTCTTTCTGGAACATCATTCACCACTGGAAAATAGAAAAATTAGAGTATATTACGAATTTGGCGGGAGAGCCAAATGAGTGAGCATTTTTTTGCTCTCAAAGCACAGCTACAAGCCAACAAAAATGACAAACATGAGTTGCAAGCTTATTCTTTAATATCTTGACATATATGTAACGGAATTTAAAATGTGATATCGCAAATTAAAGATATACATTTCGAAAATATCTGAATAATCTGAATATCTGAGTGAATGCTGGATAATGGTGCCGTTGCCCTCAACCAGCCTAGCCCGGTGTTCACATTTGATACCGACCGTGCGTGAGCGACATCGAAGGGAGAATTGCCAACAATGCAGCATCGATGTGGGCCACATTGGAGTGGAAAGTGGTTAAGTGGGAGTTGAGTGATTATAAAATGATCACTGTTGTGGCAACACTAACGGTCACGCGCGAGTAAAATAGAGCACCCTACCCTTTCTCTGTACCAGAAGAAACTTTAAAATTCGCTGACTCCCACCGCTTTGACGACGCCTGACTGGTAACTCGCGCACTTGAGAGCTTAGCTCCTGTGCCGTCCTGTGGCGCGTCTGACGACTCCATCAGCTCCGCTGTATACCTCCTCCTCGATGCCCTTTCGCCACTCTCGTCTGGGCACGGCAGGATCGCAGACGAAGACAATATCGCCCTGGCGGATGGGCTCCGTTCTTCGGCACCACTTCTCGCGGCACACAAGCGTAGGCAGGTCTCCATGACCCACCTCCTCTGGAAGCGGTCCCGCAGCATGCGGGCAATCCTCCACTGCTTTCGCGTAGAACCCTCCTTGGGCCGCTCCACATCCCATCCGGGCGTATCCGGCAGGTTAGCTGCTCCCTTGAGCAGGTCGTTTGGCGTCAACGGCGCCTCTTGTTCCGCATCCAGTGGCAAGTGGGTGAGCGGACGCGAATTGATTATGTTTTCCGTCTCTATTAAGAGACTCTCCAAAACATGGTCCCACGGCGCGACTTCCTTCAGGGTATGGCGCAGCACTCGCTTGACGCACTGCACCATCCGCTCCCATACTTCGCCCTCAGACGGGTTGAATGGGCAATTAAAGACCCATTCAATGCTCCTGCTGGATAACTTACTCTGTATCCTTTCCGTCTCGAA